AACAACAATCTGGGTCCTCATTTTACCCACCTCGGAAGGATGGAAGGCTGAGTCAACCTTGAGCCTGGTGGGATTTGAACAGCCAAACTGCTGAACTGCAGTGCTGCATTTAACCACTGCACCACCTCGGCTCATTAAAATCAGCTTTCCTAAAGTGGATTGAAATTCAACTCCCAGAATTCTGGGAGTTGGAAGTGCCCAAATCTTAAAGTTGCCAAGTTTGAAAAACTCTTGTTCACAAGAGTTCACAAGCTTGTGGAAGCTCACAATTTCAAGCCTGGTGACATAAGGGATTCTGTTACGTGAAGAGGAGCGGAGGTCCACCCCTCGCAACAATCTTGGTCCAGAGCAAGTTCACAAACTGGTGTAAGCAGAAATCCCACCCCACATCCCCGCGCAGGAGAAGCGGGGCTGTTGGGGGGACAGAGGGGCTGCAGGCGAGCTTCATGCCAGGCAGGGTGGAAGCAGGCCGGAGCCTCTCCGGACGAGCGGCTGGGCATTCCGTAGCCCACCTGAGTCGGATCCCGAAGAGGAGGGAGGCCGCCGCCCAGCAGAAGAGCTGCTCTGCGGAGTGGGGGGAACCCGAAGGCCACCTCCCGCTACACCCGGGGCGGCTTCTCCTGCCTCGGCTCCTCCCGCTTCATCTCCCTTCGGTCCCGGCCATATAAGGCCGAGCGTCGGCCCCTCGAGGAGGAGGAGCCCTCGCCACGCCCATGAGGTCATCGCGCATTTTGGGCTACAATCGCAGGAAATCCTGGCGTGTTTGGCCGGGCCGTTTCCTCCCATTCAGCACTCCGCCGGGAGGGGAACGGGGGCATCCCTCTTGCCCCCTCCCGCCCAAGGGGCTTTTCATGGCTTCCGAGAAAAAGCCCCTTAGGGACAACCGGACGATTGAGAAGCCCCCTCGACACCCACTGCCCCCCTCAGAGCCCCCGGGGGGGGGGCGTTGGCTGTCGGACCCAGGTGGTGGGCTTCCTCCGGAGAGCGGAGGTGGGCCTGCAACGTCCGGGGGTCTTCCTGGGCATTCCCCGGGCGGGCCTTTGCATGCTAGGTTGCAACCGGAGATTTTGCTGGAGAAGATCTGGCTGAAGGGGGAGGGAGGGAGAAGGCGACCAGGGACCGTTTTAGCAGAATGAGAGGAGGAGGAGAAACTCCATTCAGTGGCCTCAAATCGGGAGCTGAGCTGCCTTGTGGCTGCTAGAAGGGAAAAGCCTCTGCCAGTAGCTGCCCAGCTCAGAAAAACAGAGGTAGGAAATTCATCTACTGCAAGGGTTTCAGTAGAATGGAATAGGATTTGGAATAGAATAGAATAGAAAAGAACAGAGAATCAGGAATAGAATAGGAATGGAATGGGAATAGAATAGAACAGAATTAAGAATCAGGAATAAAATAGAATAGGAATAGAACAGAAGAGAATACAATTATTTATTGGCCAAGTGTGATTGTACACACAAGGAATGTGTCTTGGGTGCAGATGCTCTCAGTGTAATAAAAAGACAAGATGCATTCTTCAAGAATCATAAGGTACAACACTTAATGATAGTCATATGGTACAAATAAGCAATCAGGGAACAATATCAATATAAATCGTAAATATACAAGCAACAAAGTTACAGTCCTGCAATCATAAGTGGGAGGAGATGGGTGATGGGAACGATGAGAAGACTAATAGGAATAATAATGCAACCTTAGTGAATAGTTTGACCGTGGTGAGGGAATTATTTGATGATAGCCCACAGGCCGGATGAGTCCCATGTGGGCCATGCCCACCCCAGCTCCGCAAATGGAGAAAACGTCACAAAATGTTACACAAGGGCAACGTGACACCATAATTTTGACACTTGTGTTCTAATGAGACTCACAAAGGAAGTCAGATCTTTGACACAAATCCTAGTGGCCCCATAGACCAGACGATGTGGTTTCCGTGGCTGCCATGACACTGTCTCATTCCTGCTCAGGGGGTTTGCTTTCTTCCTTCGCCCTGTAGTACTTTGATCTCCTGGTGGTCTCCCATCTCAGTAACAATCAGGCCTTGGTCCAATGGAGCAAAGCAGCCATTTGGCCTCACTGGTTGCATTTGCATAGCACCAGAGTTTGCTGGGAGGAGCAGCTCACAGTGAGTTCAAGAGGACTCAGGCTTCACCCAGGGCTCCTTCCCCACCGCAATTGCCATCTGCGTTTGGTCAACTAGAAATCCAAGTAAATGAGGACAGATTTGATACTACAATTAGTCCAGAATGCAGCTGCGTGAGCGATACTGGGTGTACTAAGGGCCTTCTCCAGGTGCCATCAGCTGGACAATGTCGGCTGGCGACGCCTCGGAGTAGGGCCTTCTCTGTTGCCG